ACTCATGCTGATATCGAACTTCTGAGCTTGATCGATCCTCCTACTTTGGACTCCCAAAGTGATGGGATTACAGGTTCAAGACAGGAATATATATACATAATTTAGATGGAGTTTTGCTCTGGTTGCCCAGGCTGGAGTGCAATGGCGCGATCTCGGCTCACCACAACCTTCACCTCCCCAGTTCAAATGATTCTCCTGCCTCAGCCTCCCTAGTAGCTGGGATTATAGGCATGTGCCACCATGCCTGGCTAATTTTGTATTTTTAGTAGAGATGGGGTTTCTCCATATTGGTCAGGCTGACCTTGAACTCCCGACCTCAGGTGATCCACCCGCCTTGGCCTCCCAAAGTGCTAGGATTACAGGCATGAGCCACTGTGCCTGGCTAAGGAATATCTTTTAAGAGACCGTTATTCATCCCACTACAGTGATTCTTACTCATGAGGAAGGTGAATTATGAGGGACATCTACTTTATTCTACTGTATATATTTATATAAATCCTTGAATTTTTCAATAAGGATTCATGCTATATTTTCTTAACAGCAGAAAGAAGGGGCAAGTTACCTGCATATCTAAGTTCAAATATTTTTGCACTACCTGCTGGTGACCAGGTCCCATTATAGGGAAATGGAAGCAAATATTTTGACAGAAGCAAAATTATGTTTCTTTTTGTTTTCTCTCTCTCAGAATGATCTTGGAAATGGTAAAATAACAATAACAATAAAAGGATGATTAACTTGCAGTTTAAACCCAAAATAAGTAATATTAAAAGAATACCTAGATCCTATAAATGAATCGCAACCCAGATACTTAGAGAACTGACATGTAGGATTCCACAACAATGTTAATCCTTGATCATGGGGAAATAGTAGATTTAAGAAGACCTGATATAGAGAGTATCTTCATGTGCCGGGCACCGTGGCTCATGCCTGTAATCCTAGCACTTTGGGAGGCTGAAGTGGGTGGATCACCTGAGGTCAAGAGTTCAAGACCAGCCTGCATGGTGAAACCCCATCTTTAAAAAAAAAAAAAAAAGAAAGAAAGAAAGAATCTTTACTTTTAGAAAGGGCCAGAAGTGAATTCTGTAAACGTTAGACTGGTGAGCTAAATGTTAAGCCTAGAAAAATGTGTTAGTAAGCTGTTAAGTTAATATTTTTGGGAAAGCTTAGAAAAGAAAATGCTTTAGGGACCAGCTTCCTTCATAAAAGCACAAGGTATGTCCATCCTAATTTCATTTATGAAATAATTACTCATGTATTATTATGTTATAGACAGAATATGTATAATTTTCAGACAATGAAAAAGCTTATTTTTTTTTAAAGTAGAGAAACGTGAGCTGCTTGTGATTGATTTGTAACTAATTTAGCAATTGTACCATGAGATTACTGATTTATGAGGTGAAGTCATCAGGAAACTACCTCTAGTGGTTGCTACAGGGCTTTGTCCTGTCTCAGGCCTGCTGCAAATATATGTGTGTGTGTATAATTAATTTCTATAAATATAAATTTTTAAGAATTTAAAGTGAGTATATTTTTAACAGCTCTATTAACATATAATTTGCATACTATAAAATTTACTCAGGCTAGGTGGGGGTGGCTCATGCCTATCATCCCAGCACTTTGGGAGGTTGAGGCAGGAGGCTTACCTGAGCACTTGAACCCAGAAGTTCAAGACCAGCCTGGGCAAGATAGGGAGACTCTGTTTTACAAAAAATTAACAAATCAGTTGGGCAGGGTGGCATGTGCCTGCATTCCCAGCTACTCAGGAGGCTGAAACAGGAGGGTCACATGAGCACAGGAAGTTGAGGCTGCAGTGAGCTGTGATCACACCACTGTACTCCAGCCTGGGCAACAGAATGAGACCCTGTCTTAAAAAAACAAAACAAAACAAAACAAAACAAAATCCCTAAGTTTACCCATTTAAAGTGGTTTTTTTAACCATATTTACAGAGCAATAAGTCATCATAATCTAATTTTAGAACAGAAAATAAGTTAGTTTTATATACTGTATGGTGAATTTGCTTTTTTTGCTTAGGATACACTTGGGTATCTGTTTATGTCTGTACATTGTATAGAACATCATTCTTTTTGACTTAGATGTATATTATATAAATGTACTATGAATTACTTGAACAATCTTCCACTGATTAAACATCTAGACTGGTTTCAACTTTTGCTGTTATAAATGATGTTGTAAGGAGCAGCGTACATCTTCACATACTTGAGTGTATGTATATTCCTTTACTTGTGTTGCATTGTTCCTCTTAATCCTAGTTCAATTTATAAAGTAGATGTTGATAACCGCTTTATGTCTCAGGAGTCAGTTTCAGAGAATTAAATGGCAAAGTCCACATTGCTACTAATTTAACAGAACAAGTTGTTCTTTTTTGTTGTTGTTTTGTTGTTGTTTTAATATAGACGTAGACTCCCTATGTTCCTCAGGATGGTCTTAAACTCCTGAGATCAAGCAGTCCTCTCCTTGGCCTCGCAAAGTGCTGTGCTTATAGGCCTGAGCCACCATCCCCAGCCCCTGAACAAGTACTTCAATCTCATTTTTTGTTGTTTTTTCATTATAAGTGCTGTGGTTTTCTAGTACTCACAGGATTTTGACAAATTAGAATGTATCCAGAAGACCATGACTAGAATTAGGGAGCAGTAAAAGGAACTAGGGATGTTTAGGAGACACATATTTATTTTATTTGTTCAATGTGTATTTATTAAGCACCCACTATGTGTCACATCCTGTTATAGATGGTGGATGGACAGCAGTTACAAGACAAACAAGGCCCTCTTCTTTCATGATGCTTTTGTTTCAGTGAGGGGAAATGGACAAGTTTCTTGATCTTACCTGTTTACTTTAACAAGTAAACAGGTAAGATCATTTTAGATAGTGACAAGTACTGTCAAGAAAATAAAACAGGATAATTAAGTGACCAAGGAAAACTCATTTAGGAGGTAACAGTGCTGATACCTAAATGACAGAAAGGCAATGTTTATATGTCTATCTATAGATATCTTTATGTAACATGAATGGTAATTACATTTAATTAGATTAGAAATAGACTTCCTATAGATGATAATAATAGTTTCAAAAACCAGCAGTACTACTTACACACTATTTTACCCAAACTCTCTGAACTTCAGTTTTTATGTCTACAAAGTAGAGATAACAAACCTAGCTCACAGAACTTTTTGGAAGGCTGCATAAAAGGGTTAGGCAAAAGCATCGAGCACTGGCCCATAACAGGCTCTTATTAGGCACTGAGTGAGATTTCATAATGCTCCATACAAAGAAAACATTTCTAACAATTATTGCAGAACACAAATTGAATGACTTTCATGTGTTAGTGATTTTCCTATCAGTGGGGGACATTTAAGCAGCCTTTTTTTTTTTTTTTTTTTTTTTTTGAGACAGGGTATGTCTCTATTACCCATGCTAGAGCACAGTGGCGCAGGCATGGCTCACTACAACTTTGATGTGGGATCAAGTGATCCTCCTGCCTCAACCTCTTAAGTAGCAACTGCAAGTGTACACCACCATGGTTGGTTAATTTTTAAATTTTTCATAGAGATGAGGTTTCACTGTGTTGCACAGACTAGTCTCAAACTCCTGGGCTCAAGCCGTATGTTTCCCTTGGACTCCAAAGTATTGGGAGTACAGGCGGGAGCCACTGGTACCCAGCTTCGTAGCCAGAAGATGGCTGTTCTTGAATAGAAGACATTCATGCATTAACTGAGGAATAAGACAAGTTGACCTGACAGCCTTTCCCTGTCCCATTGCTGATAAGCTTTCTGTCTTTAGAGCGTATTTTAGTTCATTTTCTCACTGCTATAAAGAAATAAGAAATAACTTTAGAATAGGTAATTTATAAAGAAAAGAGATTTAATTGGCTCATGGTTCTGCAGGCTATACTGAAAGCATAATGCTCGTATCTGCTCAGCTTCTGGGGAGGCCTCCAGAAACTTCAAATTATTGCAGAAGACAAAGTGGGAGCAAGGGGTTTTACATAGCAGGAGCAAGAGACAGTGAGGAGGGAGGTGCTGCACACTTTTAAACAACCACATCTCACGAGAACTTAATCACAGTGGTGAGGATAATACCAAGGGGATGGTGCTAAGCCATTCAAGAGATTGATCTGCAAGATCCAACCACCTCCCGCCAGGCCCCACTTTCAACATTGGAGACTACAGTTGGACATGAGATTTGGTGGGGACATAGATCCAAACCATATCAGAGTCCTAGTTCACAGCTTGGGAAATACACTCAGGCATGTTTTTGAAGCCTAAAGGGGCCTTCTGGAATAGTGGTTTAAAAATCTTTTTAAAGCAGTGGCTCAAGCCTGAAATCCCAGCACTTTGGGAAGCTAAAGCAGGTGGGTCACTTGAGGCCAGGAGTTTGAGATCAGCCTCACCAACATAGTAAAACCCCATCTCTACTAAAAAATAAAAAAATTAGCTCGATATGATGGCACATGCCTGTAATCACAACTACTTGGGATGCTGAGGCATGAGAATCACTTGAATCTGAAAGGCGGAGGTTGCAGTGAGCCAAGGTCGCACCTCTGCACTCCTGCACTCCAGCCTGGGTGACAGAACAAGATTCTGTCTCAAAAAAAAAAAATTAAAGCAACAGTACCCTTCTAAAGAAATATTGAAGTCTGATCTGTAAAATTTAAAATTCGATCCACTAGGTGAAGTTGGTAATGAGAGGTTACCTATTTTATTGTTCCCTTAATATCTCTTGCATTTGTATATATGCGTTATATGTTTACTAAAGAACTCTTTTTTTTTTTTTTTAATTGTCATAGCTACTACTTAAGTAAATCTATGTTATAGGCTAGGAAGTAGGCATGGAGAGATAAGTAACTTGTTCTGATCCCGGAATAATCCTTAATGGAGTCAGAACTATAACCTGAATCTCTTAACCCCTGTGTCAATGGACTTTTCCTCTAATACGCTTTATTAATCACTTTATAGCTTTCCTTTCTTTCTTTCTTTTATAGAGTTAATTATTTATATTGTAAAGAATTTTAATAGTCCTGGGGACTTCCTTGAAGGATCATTTTCACTTTTGCTCAGAAGAAAGCTCTGGATCTATCAAATAAAGAAGTCTTTCGTGTGGGCTACACATATAGATGTTTTCATGAAGAGGAGTGAAAAGCCAGAAGGATATAGACAAATGAGGCCTAAGACCTTTCCTGCCAGTAACTATACTGGCAGTAGCCGGCAAATGTTACAAGAAATTCGGGAATCCCTTAGGAATTTATCTAAACCATCAGATGCTGCTAAGGCTGAGCATAACATGAGTAAAATGTCAACTGAAGATCCTCGACAAGTCAGAAATCCACCCAAATTTGGGACACATCATAAAGCCTTGCAGGAAATTCGAAATTCTCTGCTTCCATTTGCAAATGAAACAAATTCTCGTAGTACTTCAGAAGTTAATCCACAAATGCTTCAAGACTTACAAGCTGCTGGATTTGATGAGGTAAGAACTTTTAAAGACAATGGATTCTTCTTACCTTGTGCTACATAACATTTTTGGGGTGAAAACATGCCAAAATGTTTCCTTTAAGAGAATTTAACCGTGTATACAAATTTACATATTCTATCAGGAAAGAATGTTATGTTTATAATTCCATTAATTATTATAACAAAATAATTGTTATTTCCTTAGTTTCTTCTGTGATATGTATCACTAAATTCTGGAGTTTCTGGAATTTAAAAGGCCAGGTCATGAAGTCAGAATGGAAGTGCAGTTGAAGAAAGCCACAGGTGAGGGTAGGGGAAAGACATCTGTTTGTGTGAAATACAATGGTGAACTAAGTGTCTGTTGGGGAAATGATAGTTCCGAGAATATGAAATTTAACTTCATAGTAGGGAGAAAGAATTATGGTTATGGGTTTGTGTAAGCAGTTGTGTTCTCAGGCCCAAATCTTAAATTTACAAAAACTAACAAAATTTCACTTCAGACTAACTATGCCAAGTCTTTAATATTTATCTTCAGAATTCATTTTGAAATTTTTTCATTATCCATATATTTAATGATTTTAGATTATCAATGAAAGTTGTTTCTTACGGTAACATACCTTGTGAGCATGAATATTTTAGATGTCAGGAGCCATTTTAGATAAATATTGGCAATGTAAAATGTAATTAAATGTGAATAATCAAAAGTTAGGCCGGGCGCAGTGGCTCACACCTATAATCCCAGCCCTCTGGGAGGCTGAGGAGAGCAGATCACCTGAGGTCAGAAGTTTGAGATCACTCTGATCAACATGGTGAAACCCCATCTCTACTAAAAATACAAAATTTGCTGGGCATGGTGGTGCATGCCTGTAATCCTACCTACTTGGGAGGCTGAGGCAGGAGAATGACTCTGCCTCCAAGAGGCAGAGGTTGCAGTGAGCTGAAATCACGCCATTGCACTTCAGCCTGGGCGATAAGAGGGACACTCCATCTCAAAAAAATAGTTAATTACATTTTTCACAATTACAGTAACATGTTTTCCTGATTGTAAAAAATATTACCTATTTTCTCTTAATAATTTAAAAGTATAAAGAAGAAACTGAAAATTACATTTAGCTTCACTATATAAAGATAACTACCCTTAAAACTCCTTCACTGTTTTTATATGGGTTTTTTTTTTGTGTGTGTGTGTGTGACCAAATTTCCATATATTTCTGTATTTAATTTAAAAAGTGAGAACCTGACCAGGCACAGTGGCTCACGCCTGTAATCCCAGCACTTTGAGAGGCCAAGGTGGGCGGATCACGAGGTCAAGAGATAGAGACCACCCTGGCCAACATGGTGAAACCCCATCTCTACTAAAAATACAAAAATTAGCTGGGCGTGGTGGCACGTGCCTGTGGTCCCAACTACTTGGGAGGCTGAGGCGGAAGAATCACTTGAACCCAGGAGGTGGAGGTTGCAGTGAGCCAAGATTGCGCCACTGTACTTCACCCTGGCAACAGAGCAAGACTCCGTCTAAAAAAAAAAAAAGAAAAAAAGTAAGAACCTATGTATGCATTATAGCAAAAGATTTAAAAAGGGAGATTTACAACTAAACTATAAGGGAAGAAAAATTATTTCTGGCACATTCTATTTACCTATTTGATTAATATTATTTTCTATTATTTTTATACTTAAGTGTTCTAAAAATACTGAATTTAAACCCGGAAATAGAGAGAGGAAGAGGAGGGAAAGACATGGGATAATGTTTTTCTGGTTAGTATTTAGAGGATTAAAGAAATGGCTTGAGTGGAGATTGTCCCAGCACTTTCTTCCTAATCCCTTAGCCAAAAGGCAAAGAATAATTATCGATCTTATTTTTTCCTTACATTTGCTGAGCAAAGAGAAGTTATGAAATCACATAGCTGTAAAAGCCCCTAGTGGTCATATGTTATGTCAGTTTAGTCACCCAGTAACATGTACTTAGGGAGCTCTTATTATGTGTGCACCTCACGCAACAGTCAGTATAGCAAGTTGTACCAGATGTGGCCCATACCTTTAAGGTAATTAAAAGTTTTCTTTTCTTTTTTTTTCTTTTTGAGACACAGTCTTGCTCTGTCGCCTAGGCTGGAGTGCAGTGGCATGATCTTGGCTTACTGTAACCTCTACCTCCCAGCTTCAAGCGATTCTCCTGCCTCAGCCTTACGAGTAGCTGGGACTACAGGTGTGCACCACCATGCCCAGCTAATTTTTGTATTTTTAGTAGTGATGAGGTTTCACCATGTTGGCCAGGATGGCCTCGATCTCTTGACCTCGTGATCCACCTGCCTCGACCTCCCAAAGTGCTGGGATTACAGGCGTGAGACACCACGCCTGGCCTAAAAGTTCTTTCTAATAAAGACAGTTTTAAGAATTCTAAGGCATTGGTCAATGCTCTAGTCTTTATTGGTAATGATAACAATAATTGGTTTGTATTGCAAAGATATGCTTGTGCTTTTTTTTCATTAAAGTTCTACTACACAAATAATATGTTAGCTTTATTATAATTACACATTTCAAATTGTCACAAGATTGCTTTATGAAAGTATTTAGACATTTACCATTCCTCATTTGTCCAAATAATGAAGTATGGTGTTATTTATACCAATGGTGATATAAAGAATCTGGCAGTCTACTTGTACTTCCTTGAATCACTCATTCTGGTAGCATCCCATGATATTGTAGAGTTTATCTGGTTCAAGATCCTAACTTGGTATTTCAAAATTGTTATCTAGTTTTCACTTCATTCTTTTTTATCATTTCAGAAACCCTAACCTACTCCTTTTATTAGCTATGCCAAGTTCAAGATAGTGCCTTTATTTTTTTTGATAATATGTTTCTGATGACCCTGTAAAATTAAAAGCTCAAATATTTCAAGATTAATTTTCTAATAGGAATAAATGTTAAATAGGATTGATGCGTTCTTGGAGCACATAATACAATCACTGGGGTATATTTTTGCTTATAAGCATGAAAACCAAAAGCGTAATTATGTGGACATATTTTCTTATCACATAAGACTTCTGGCCAGGCGCAATGGCTCACGCCTGTATCCCAGCACTTTGGAAGTTCAAGGCAGGTGGATCACTTGAGGCCCCGTGTTCGAGACCAGCCTGACCAACATGGTGAAATTTGTACAAAAAAGTACAAAAAATATTTGTATAAAAAATACAAAAAAAAAAAAATTAGCCAGGCCTGGTGGCACATGTGTGTAGTCCTAGCTACTTGGGTGGCTGAGGTAGGATAATTGCTTGAACCTGGGAGGCAGAGGTTGCAATGAGCTGAGATCGCGCCAGTGCACTCTAGCCTGGGCAGTAGAACGAGACTCTGTCTCAAAAAAGACTTCTAGCTGGGTTGTGGTAGCTCACACACTTGTAATTCCAGTGCTCTGGGATGCCAAGGCAGGAGGATTGCTTGAGCCCAGGAGTTCAAGTCCAGCCTGGGGAACATAGTGAGACCCTGTTCCTACAAAAAAAATTTTTTAATTAGCCAGGTGTGGTGGCATATGTTGGTAGTACCCAGCTACTCAGGAGGCTGAGGTGGGTGGATCACTCAAACCCAGGAGATGAAGGCTGCAATGAGTTATGGTTGTACCACTGCATTCCAGCCTGGGCAACAGAGTGAGACCCTGTCTCTAATGGGAAAAAAAAAAAAAAAAGACTACCATTCCAAAGTTAGTGATTTGAGCATGCCGTTTTTCACACTGGCACTAACACCTCAACTTGATGAAAGCTTGATTGATGTTTTTACAGATGTAAAAAATAGTTTAAAACACAGCAGTAAATATTCAAACATAAATGTTAGCATAGTAATCACCAAAATCACAAGGCTGAAATTCCAGTGCATTTAACAAGAGTATGGGCCAGGCGCAGTGGCTCACACCTGTAATCCCAGCTCTTCAGGAGGCCAAGTTGGGTGGATCACTTGAGGTCAGGAGTTCGAGACCAACCTGGCCAACATGACAAAACCTTTTATATATTTAATAAAAAAGTATGTAAATTAGCCAGGCATGGTAACGGGTGCCTGTAATTCCAGCTTCTCAGGAGGCTAAGGTAAGAGAACCACTTGAACCCAAGAGGCAGAGATTGCAGTGAGCTGAGATCATGCCACTGCACCCCAGCCCGGGCGACATCGAGGCTCTGTCTCAAAAAGAAAAAAAGAAAAATGATTCCCACAATATTGGTAAAGGGTAATGGATGCTAATTTTCTTACCAACTGAGGTGTTACTGCTATGTAATAATAGCGTAAATACATATACAGTTCACTTGACTTTAACCAGTTTTAAAATTAAACACTCATTGATGAATTTTAACTTGGGTGATTTTTATTATTTTACATGTGCACATATTTGATTTTAACAAAAATCCAAATAATAATGCTTTAAGCAAGATAGTGATTCAGTTTATATAATTAAACATTAGGTCAGTGTCTTAAAGATTTCAGAGCTTAGGACTCTTATGAGTCCTTTGAATTTTACTTCTTGGTGGCAACATGCTGTAGCACAGGTACCATATCTGTTGCCTAGGAAACAGGATCTAGGAAGGACCAGTATCTGGATCAGGCAGGCATGGCAAAAGTTTTATGGCAACCCTTGCTTCTTCCAACAAAATCAGTAACTTTTTCCAAGAAAGGGAGAAGGGACCTTAGGTAAGCAATAAGTTCTTACCTCATCCTTTCTTTGGTTGGTCTCACATTCTTCTCTAATCATTTCACATAGGAGGATCATCTGTCAGTAGCCTGTTCACCCAACAGTCTTACTAAGTCATTTCTCATTTAAAAATGTCATTTGAAATACTGAATCTTCTAGGACAAGTAAGTAGTTGTCTCCCTCTTGAAAAATGCATGTCAGCATACTTTCTGCATGGTAGTGAATGATTTATGTTTACATAAAACATAAAGTTCAAGGAGTGGAAGAGAGTAGCCAGCATTTTAGCTCCAGGCACTGTGGTTGGTGCTTTACATGTTTTCTTTTTTTTTTTTTTTTTTTTTTGAGACGGAGTTTCGCTCTTGTTACCCAGGCTGGAGTGCAATGGCGCGATCTCGGCTCACCGCAACCTCCGCCTCCTGGGTTCAGGCAGTTCTCCTGCCTCAGCCTCCTGAGTAGCTGGGATTACAGGCACGTGCCACCATGCCCAGCTAATTTTTTATAGTTTTAGTAGAGACGGGGTTTCACCATGTTGACCAGGATGGTCTCGATCTCTTGACCTCGTGATCCACCCGCCTCGGCCTCCCAAAGTGCTGGGATTACAGGCTTGAGCCACCGCGCCCGGCCGTTACATGTTTTCTTACTTAATCCTTACATCAACTCTGCGAGCCTATTACAGGCAAAGAAACTGAGCCTCTGAAATGTGAAATAACTTGCCAAGTGTCACGCTACTTTACAGAGCTGCTAGAACTCAAACCCACATCTGTCTGATTCCAAATCCTCTGTTATTTTTATCATACTATATAGTGTCCTAAAGTCTTCATCACCTAATCATATACAGTCTAAGTATCTTCTTTTGTCTTATGTTTACATCCCTGTAATATAGTTCTCTGAAAATGTAATCTCCAAGAGGATAAGAACCAGAACTACTATATACAATGGCAATATGCTTAATAAAATACTTCAATGATAACAAAAAAAGTTGTGGTTTTTTTTTTTTGAGATGGAGTTTCACTCTTGTCAGGCTGAAATGCAATGACATGATCTCGACTCACTGCAACCTCCACCTCCTGGGTTCTCCTCCCTCAGCCTCCCAGATAGCTGGGATTATAGACATGCACCACCATGCTCGGCTAATTTTGTATTTTTAGTAGAGCCAGGGTTTCACCATGTTGATCAGGCTGGTCTTGAACTCCTGACCTCAGGTGATCCATCTGCCTCAGCCTCCCAAAGTGCTGGGATTACAGGTGTGAGCCACAACGCCCAGGCCAAACAAGTAGTTTCTGATATTTTGATTGCTACCTTTTTAACAATCTGATTGTTTGTGATTGTTATATAAGAATTAGAAATGATCAAAATCATGTTGCTATGATTGTACCCAAAAGAGTTAATCCTAATTCAAGCCAACAATGGTATGTTGAAAAAAAATAAAAATTTAAAAAATTTAAACTTTTTCATCCCAGGAGGAAATAGAAATATGTTACATAAAGGTGAAAATGCTAAAGAAACATTTGAAGACAAAAAAAAAGAAACATTTGGAAGATTTGAGGATTTTCTTTTCTTTTCTTTTCTTTTCTTTTTTTTTTTTTCAGGACAGCATCTCGCTCTGTTGCCCAGACTGGAGTGCAGTGGTCATCTTAGCTCACTGTAACCGCCACTTCCTGGATTCAAACAATTCTCATGTCTAACCTACTGAGTAGCTGGAATTACAAGCATGTGCCCACACGCCTGGCTAATTTTTTATTTTTTTTGCAGAGATTGGGTTTCACCATGTTGGCCAGGCTTGTCTCAAACTCCTGGTCTTAAGTGATCTGCCCACCTCGGCCTCCCAGAGTGCTGGGATTACGCAGTGCTTGAGCCACTGCGCCCGGCCTGTTTAAGTTGAGATTTTGTATGAGGTTTTTAGTAGCTACAAACAAAACATTAATATTATGGTTTGGGGTCCTGTTCTTCATAATTGTGGATTTCTCTAGTGGAACTCATAGTGTTGTTTCCCTTGTGTTACTTATAAGATTTAAATTTTGTTTCTTTTTTTTAAACTTCATATCAGGATATGGTTATACAAGCTCTTCAGAAAACAAACAACAGAAGTATAGAAGCAGCAATTGAATTCATTAGTAAAATGAGTTACCAAGATCCACGACGAGAGCAGATGGCTGCGGCAGCTGCCAGACCTGTTAATGCCAGCATGAAGCCAGGTGATTAATCGAATATTTTATTTTCTCATCTCTTCTTATACTGGATAGTTTAAAAATACTGAAGTCTATCAACTCTTTGTTCTTATAAATTGTAAAAGCATCCCAGTAAATGAAAATCTCAAATTAAGATAACATTATAATGTTACACTAAAATGAATTTAAGTATTTGGGGCCCTCACGTTTAAAAGTTAATAGATAATTCAGATAAGCAGCAGTCTTGATTGAGATTTATTTGATTGGTAATACTGCAACTGAAATACATGTTTTCTCTCCAAATCCCATCATTCAGACTACTCTTTTTTCTTTTTATACATTTTTTTCATATTATGAGAGTAAAATATTATCAACGTAGAATATTTAGAAAACAAAACATCACTGTTAATAACAATATTTTGGTGTATTTTGTTTCCCAGTCTTTTCTCCTGTGGGAAACTGGAACGAGTTTATCTGTGTGTATTTTAATTCTTACCGCTTAAGCAAAAAATGGGATCATACTAAAACCTACTTTTTTCACTTAAATATACCATGTATAAATTTACTTGTTATTAAATTTTCTACAGAATAATTTTAATAGCCACATTAAAATAGACTTATTTGCTGAGTACAGTGGTTCATACCTGTAATCCCAATACTGTGGGAGACCTTGAGGCAGGAGGATCGCTTGAGCCCAGGTGATCCTGCCACTATACTCCAGCCTGGGCAACAGCTAGACCCTGTCTCAGAAAAAAAAATAAAAGATGTATCATATACTTTAATCTCCCATTTTTGGACATCTACTTTGTTTCCTTTTTTATTTGCCATTATAGACAGCACTGTAGTAATTATCCATATAGCTAAATCTTTGTGCATACCTAATGATTTCTTAAAAGTAAGTTTTAGAAAACTTAAAAAACGTTAAGGCTTTTAATAGATATTGCTGTTTAGAAAAGTAGTACCAATTTATAATTTTTTTATTTTTTATTTTTTTGAAATGGAGTTTCACTCTGTTGCTCAGGCTGGAGTACAGTGTCACAATCTCACCTCACTGCAACCTCCGCATCCCAGGTTCAATCAGTTCTCCTGCCTCAGCCTTCCAAGTAGCTGGGATTACAGGCATCAGCCACCAGGCCTGGCTAATTTTTGTATTTTTAGCAGAGACAGGGTTTCACATGTTGGCCAGGCTGGTCTCGAAGTCCTGACCTCAAGTGATCTGACCACCTCAGCCTCCCAGAGGGCTGGGATTACAAGCGTGAGCCACCGCACCCAGCCACTAGTACCAATTTATATTCTCCCTACCAGTTTACTGTGAGAATGTCTGTGTTTGTAAAGCCTGGTTATTATTATTTTTGTCTGTTTAATGGTTATGGAAACACCGTCTTATTTTACATTTGCATTTCTTTGAATTGCTCCTTTACTTATTTTAATTTTGTCTTTGCCTTTTTTTTTCTTGAGACAGAATCTCGCTCTGTCACCCATGCTGAAGTGCAGTGGCGTGATCTCGACTCACTGCAACCTCTGCCTCCCAGGTTCAAGCGATTCTCTTGCCTCAGTCTCCCCAGTAGCTGGGACTATAGGCATACACCACCACACCCGGCTAATGTTTTGTATTTTTAGTAGAGATGGGGTTTCACCATGTTGGCCAGGATGGTCTAATCTCCTGACCTTGTAATCTGACCACCTGAGCCTCCCAAAGTGCTGGGATTACAGGCGTGAGCCACCACGCCCAGCCATAAATCAATTCTTAAAAGACGAAGACAGGCTGGGCACAGTGGCTCATGCCTGTAATGAATTCCAGCACTTTGGGAGGCTGAAGTGGGCAGATCACGGGGTCAGAATTTCGATTCCAGCCTGACCAACATGGTGAAACCCCATCTCTACTAAAAATACAAAAATTAGCCACGCATGGTGCCATGCACCTGTAGTCCCAGCTTCTCGGGAGGCTGAGACGGGAGAATCACTTGAACCTGGGAGGCAGAGGTTACAGTGAGCCCAGATCATGCCACTGCACTACAATCTGGGTGGCAGAGCAAGACTCTGTCTCAAAAAAAAAAAAAAAATTATAAGAGGGCTATAGTCATTCTTCCTATTAAGCAGATTTTTATTGGTCAACCACTGTTTCAGGCTCTTTGCTCTGCACTGGGTAAGTTCTTGCCCTTTTGTGGAGCTTACATTCTGTTAAGGGAGATCAGATAATCACACAGATATGTATAGAATTACAGCTATATATGGTGTGAATGAAGAGAGGAAAGTTCCGTGGTACTGTAGACTCATATAATAGTGGGTGTTTTTTTGTTTTGTTTTGTTTTTTTTACCTAATCAAGAAGATCAGAAAAATCCTGCTTCATAAACTGATAATAAAGCTGATATCTGAAGAAGTACAGAGTTAATGGGAATGGGTTTAGTGAGTATCCTTGTGCTTGGCTACTTTGGCAGATTTTAATGCCACACCAAAAAAAAAAAAAAAAAGAAAATGCTTGGAGCACTGAAAACAGGATTGTGAAATGTGACTGGAGAAGTCCATAGGGGCCTGACTCTGCAGAACTGTTTATTAATTTTATCCTAAGAGCAGCGGAAAGGAGTAGAAGTGTTTTAAGCGGGGTGACAACATGATTAGATTTGTATTTCAGAAAGATGGCTGCAGTGGATGAGAATGCATTAGGAGCAAGGACAGATAAGAAGGCAGGTGTGTGTGATAGGAGACATAGTAGTTTGTGAGGGTAATTTGGACTTGGGTAATAGCAGTGAAGAAAATGAATGAATGAAGAGGAATGGAAGGTTAAAATTGACAAGGACTTGGTAATAGATTACATGCAGGGTATGATGATAGAAGGAGATAGAAGGGGATAACTCTTAGGTTTTTGGCTTAGAAAAATAGATGGATAATAATACCCTACATTAAGAAAGAAAATGTTAAGAGAGAATAGAATTGGGTGGGAAAGATCATAAATCTGGCTTTAGTTTTCCAAGTGGAGACATCAAGTAAGGAGCTGGATATGTATGTATCAGCCATGATATGAAATAGGTCACCTAAGGGATGTTACATAAATCAAAATAATAAGATGGCCTGCAACCAAGCTTACTATTCAATAGCTAGTAGGAAGGGATAAACCTGCAAAGGGGACAGAGAAGAAATAGCTAAGGCCAGTGGCTCATGCCTGTAATCCCAGCTCTTCAGGAGGTCTAGGCAGGAGGATCGCAAAGTCAGGGGTTCGAGACCAGCCTAGCCAACATGGTGAAACCCCATCTCTACAAAAATTAGCTGGGCATGGTGGCGTATGCCTGTAATCCCAGTTACTCGGGAGGCTGAGGCAGGAGAGTCACTTGAACCCAGGAGGCGGAGTTGCAGTGAACTGAGACCTCACCATTGCACTCCAGCCTGAGTGACAGAGCAAGACCCCGTCTCCAAAAAGAAAAAAAAAAAAAAAAGAAAAGAAAGAAAGAGCTAAAAGGGAAGGAAGAAAACCAATAAGGTTTTCAGTGTTTTGGAAGCCAAAGTAAGAGAATGTTTCAAGAAAGGGTGGGAATGGTCAAAATGCCAAATACTGCTAAGAAAGAGATATTGACCAAGATGAGAACTAAAAAATAATCTTGTTGGCTTTAGGACATGGTATATTAGTTTGCTAGGGCTGCCATAACAAAATTACACAGACTGGGTGGCTTAAACAATTGAGATTTATTTTCTTACAGTGCTGGAGACTAGAAGTCCAAGATTTAAGTTACTGGCAGGTCTGGTTTCTACTGAGGCTGATCTCCTTGGCTTGCAGATGGCCACTGCCTTGCTGTGGCCTCATATGTGTGTCCCTCTGCATGTGCATGTGTCTGGGGTCTCTGTCTCTATGTCCAAATTTTCTCCTACAGGGATACAGGTCATATTGCATTAGGACCCACCCTAATGACCTAATTTAATCTTAATTACCAAATACAGTCACATCTTGTGGTACTGCATATAGATTGAGGACTCAGCCCAGAACAAATTAGGTAACTTGTGTCATGGGAGCATAATTCAGACTGGAGTGGGTAGAGAACTAAATAGGATATGTAGTAGCAAAGAACACAAGGTATACCTTTAAGAGGTTTTTCTGTGAGGAGAGTGAGGACATTAGCAAGAGTAATGCTTTCAAACCATCTATGGTGAAGACCTTTGATTTTTCAGATTTCCAATTCATGAATTCAATTCATAATTTAATAAAATACAATAAAATAAAATATTAGAAAATGAAAATTTAAGTGCTAGGCATGGTAGCTCACGCATGTAATCCCAGCACTTTGGGAGGCTGAGGCGGGAGGATCACTTGAGCTCAGTTGTTTGAGACTAGCCTGGGCATCATTGTGAAACGCCGGCTCTACAAAAAATTAGCCAGGTGTGGTGATGGGTGCCTGTTCCCAGCTATTCAGGAGGCTGAGGTGGGAGGATTGCCTGTGCCAGCAAGATTGAAGCTGCAGTGAGCTGTGATTGCACCACTGCACTCCAGCCTGGGCAGTAGAGTGAGCCCCTTTCTCAAAAGAAAAAAGGTTAAAATTTTAAATGACATAAAAATATAAGTTTAAATATTCTATTATTATATTTAACAGACATAAGTTTATTCTGTCAAATTCCTATTAAAGTTTCTCAATCCTCACTCTCAATTTCCATACTTATCTCATGGATGACCAATATCAGTTTGGGGACCAGCACCAACTAACACTTTGAGGTAGAACTCTATATATGGGAGTGGAAGAAGAATCTTCTTTTTTTTTTTTTTTTTTTTGAGACGGAGTTTCGCTCTTGTTACCCAGGCTGAAGTGCAATGGCGCGATCTCGGCTCACCGCAACCTCGCCTCCTGGGTTCAGGCAATTCTCCTGCCTCAGCCTCCTGAGTAGCTGGGATTACAGGCACGCACCACCATGCCCAGCTAATTTTTTGTATTTTTAGTAGAGACGGGGTTTCACCATGTTGACCAGGATGGTCTCGATCTCTTGACCTCGTGATCCACCCGCCTCGGCCTCCCACAGTGCTGGGATTACAGGCTTGAGCCACCGCGCCCGGCCTGAAGAATCTTCTTTTGTTTTTGTTTTAAGTAAAGACTTAAACATGTTTAAAAAATAATTGAAAGACTCTAGTCAAGAGGATGAAATTAAATATTCAAGAGATCCTTGAGGATCAAGTAAGCTTCTTGAGAAACCAGGAGGAATAGGATCCAAAGCATAGCATGAGGGAATATTAGCCTTGGGTAGAAAGAGGTACAGCCATTTTTCTCTAACAGCAGCAAACGGGCCTAGGTTATGTAGGGAAGCTAAGTTAGTACTTTCTGATGCCTGCTGTTTTCTCTGAAATAGAAAAGGAAGTCATTTTCTAAGACTGATGAGTAATGGATGGGGCAGGCAGTTTGAGGAGACTGAGGACTGGCAATAGTGGAGACTATAGAAAGAGTAGAGTTTCCTGGTGGTGCCGAGGCCGTTGAGGGATGCTGATCCTCAATTATAGTAGAATCAGTCTGCCCATTGCATCACTTACTCTTGTGAGTGTGGGAAAAAAAAAGAAAGATAGCTGGAATTACCCCTGACTGAAGTTTCACTAAACAAGTCCAAAATAAGATAGATAATATTGCTGAAAGGGTTTTGTTTTGTTTTTTTGACACATGCATGAGCCAGTGTACCCAGCCTGACTTAATCTGAGCATACTTCTTTGTCTTTATTGGCTTCTTATTCTCTCCAAAGTCCTTGTCTGTGGCCTGGCTGCCTTTTAGATCTCATCCAATATCACTTTCCCCACCTCATTTACTGTTCTGCAGCCATACTGGGTTTGTTTTGTTCTTGGAAAATACCAAGCTCCCAAGGACCTTTATGCAGTCTTTTTTTTGAGAGTTTCTCACTGTCACCCAGGCTGGAGTGCAGTGGCGTGGTCTCGGCTCACCACAGCCTCTGCCTCCTGGTTTCTAGCGATTCTCCTGTCTCAGCCTCCCAGGTCTCCTGTCTCAGCCTCCCGGGTTGCTGGGATTACAGGCATGTGCCACCACAACCAACTAATTTTTGTATTTTTAGTGGAAACGTGTTTAACCATGTTGGCCAGGTTTGTCTCAAAGAACTCCTGACGTCAGGCAATCCTCTCGCCTCAGCTTCCCAAGTTGCTAGGATTACAGGCGTGAGCCACTGTGCCTGGCCTATGCAGTTGTCACTCATACATTATCCCTCAGAGGAGTCTTTTTTTTTTTTTTCTTAAGACAGTCTCACCCTGTTGACAGGCTGGAGTGTAGTGGCACCATCTCGGCTCACTGCAACCTCCACCTCCTGGGTTCAAGCAGTTCTCCTGCCTCAGCTTTCCGAGTAGATGGAACTACAGGTGCACGCCAGCTAATATTCTGTACTTTTAATAGAGACGGGGTTTCACCGTGTTGGCCAGGATGGTCTTGATCTGACCTCATGATCTGCCCTGCTCGGCCTCCCAAAGTGCTGGGATTACAGGTGTGAGCCACTGTGCCCGGCCTTAGAGAAGCCTTTTTAGACCACTGATTCTTATCCCTTTCTATCCTCCTGTTACTCTCTATTATTTGATGCCATTTATGTTTCATTCACAGAGCATTTATCATACCCTGAAGTTACTTTGTTTATTTATTCACTTGTTTTTTGTCTGGCTCCTCCTTCAAAAATGTAGGTTCCTTGGGCCAGGGATGTTCTGTTGCTTAGCAAGTCACCGGATTGCTTAGAGCACTGCCTGGCATATAGTTGATGCTCAATAAATATTTAATGAATGAATGAAAAGGAGGAGATCTTGGAGAAAAAGAATAGAGAGGGAAGAACAAAGTGGTAGACCATGGATTTAAGTTGGATAAAATGTGTCATAAAGAAAGAGGAGGGTCAGGTGTGGTGGCTCAGGCCTGTAATCCCAGCACTTTGGAGGCCAAGGTGGGAGGATTGTTGGAAGCCAGGAGTTTGAGACCAGCCTGGGCATCTTAGGGAGACCCTGTCTCTACAAAAAAATTTTTTAAATAGGCTGGGCTCAGTGTCTCCTGCCTATAATCCTAGCATTTTTGGGAGGCTGAGGCAGGAGGATCACTTGAGCCCAGGAGTTTGAGACCAGCCTGGGCAACTTAGACACTATCTCTACAAAAATTAAATAAATTAATTAAATAATTAGCTGGGCATGGTGATGCATGCCTGTAGTCCCAACTACTTGGAAGGCTGAGATGGGAGGATTGCTTGAGCCCAGGGGGTTCAAGGCTGCAGTGATTCATAATCATGCCACTGCCCTCCAGCCTGGGTGACAGCAAGACTGTTTCACGAGAATAAAAATATTAAAAAGGAGGTCTGATAAAGTAGGGGATTAATCTTGGAGCTCTTGGCCAGACACGGTGGCTCATTCCTGTAATCCCAGCGCTTTGGGAGGCTGAGGTGGGCAGATGACCTGAGGTCAGGAGTTTAAGACCAGCCTTACCAACATAGTGAAACCCCATTTCTACTAAAAATACAAAAATTAGCCAGGCAGGGTAGTACCCGCTTATAATCCAAGCTATACCGGTAGCTAAGGCAGGAGAATTGCTTAAACCCAGGAGACAGAGGTTGCAGTAAGCCCAGATCACGCCACTGCATTCCAGCCTGGGCGACAGAGTGAGACTCTGTTTGAACAAAGGCAACAACTTGGAGATCTTGATAAGGGCTGCTACTCAGTAAAGTCTAAAAACTTTTGCAGTAGTGCCTATAATCCCAGCACTTTGGGAGGCCAAGACGGGCGGATCACTAGGTCAAAAGATAAAAACCATCCTGGCCAACATGGTGAAACCCCATCTACTAAAAATACAAAAATTAGCTGGATTTGGTGGTGGGTACCCGTAATCCCAGCTACTCAGGAGGCTGAGGCAGGAGAATCACATGAACCCGGGAGACGGAGGTTGTGGTGAGCCTGTGCCACTGCACTCCGGCCTGGGTGACAGAGTGAGACTGTCTCAATTTAAAAATATATAAATATTAAAATGTATTTAAAAGCAGTAGTAGCTATGAAAATTACAAATAGATATACCCTTTGGCTTAATAATGCTACTTCTAATAATTTATCTATAAATATACATGCATATATATATGAAACTATATCTGTTCAAAAAAAAGTTTTGTTTTTTTTTTTTTTTGAGACAGAATCTTGCTCTGTCAACCAGGCTGGAGTGCAGTGGCACAATCTCAGCTCACTGCAGCTTTGGCTTCCTGGGTTCAAGTGATTCTCCTGCGTCAACCTCCCAAGTGGCTGGGACTACAGGCGCACACCACCACACCCAGCTGATTTTTGTATTTTTAGTAGAGATGGTTTTACCATGTTGGCCAGGATGGTCTTGATCTCCTGTCCTTGTGATCCAACTGCCTTGGCCTCCCGGGCACCCAGCCATGGTAACATTTTTTTTAAGTGAGGAAATAACTTTATATGCTGATACAGAATCTTCATTTTGTTTAATAAGAAAAGTCTTTGTTAGTATAGTGGTAAATAGGAAAAAAAAAAAAAAGAAGAAAAAGCTAGGCATTGTAGTAGTACATATAGGATGTATAGTACTAACTTGTATCTGTATATCCCTGAAGTACCTTATTAAAGAACATTGGTCAGCTAAAGGACAGAAGTGGTTATGATATTATACTTTGTGAATTTTGAGCCATCAATCAAGAATACTTTTTTTTTTTTTTTTTTTTGAGACAGGTCTCATTCTATCTCCCAGGCTTGAGTGCAGTGGTATGATCTTGGTTCACTGCAACCTCTGCCTCCCAGGTTCAAGCGATCCTCCAGCCTCAGCTTCCCGAGTAGCTGGGACTAGAGGCACATCTGGGTCATTTTTGTGTTTTTAGTAGAATGTTGCCCAGGCTGGTTTCAAACTCATGGGCTCAAGCAATCCACCCACCTCAGCCTCCCAAAGTGTGAAATTTTAACCAGGAGTGAGATACCATGCCCGGTCAAAAATAAATAAAATTTTAAAAGGTAAAAGGAAAACACTTACTGAAATTTTATTTTTATAACTATTTTTTTCCTAAATTGAGCTAAATAACAGTAAGAGGTTAAAAACATGATTCTTTTTTCTCTTTACCTCTCTTATGACCACAGGGAATGTGCAACAATCAGTTAACCGCAAACAGAGCTGGAAAGGTTCTAAAGAGTCCTTAGTTCCTCAGAGACATGGTCCACCACTAGGAGAAAGTGTGGCCTATCATTCTGAGAGTCCCAGCTCACAGACAGATGTAGGAAGACCTTTGTCTGGATCTGGTATAACAGCATTTTCTCAAGCTCACCCTAGCAACGGACAGAGAGTGAACCCCCTACCACCACCTCAAGTAAGGAGTGTCACTCCTCCACCACCTCCGAGAGGCCAGACTCCCCCTCCAAGAGGTACAACTCCACCTCCTCCTTCATGGGAACCAAACTCTCAAACAAAGCGCTATTCTGGGAATATGGAATACGTAATCTCCCGAATCTCTCCTGTCCCACCTGGGACATGGCAAGAGGGCTATCCACCACCACCTCTCAACACTTCCCCCATGAATCCTCCTAATCAGGGACAGAGAGGCATTAGTTCTGTTCCTGTTGGCAGACAACCAATCATCATGCAGAGTTCTAGCAAATTTAACTTTCCATCAGGGAGACCTGGAATGCAGAATGGTACTGGACAGACGGATTTCATGATACACCAAAATGTTGTCCCCGCTGGCACTGTGAATCGGCAGCCACCACCTCCATATCCTCTGACCGCAGCTAATGGACAAAGCCCTTCTGCTTTACAAACAGGGGGATCTGCTGCTCCTTCATCATATACAAATGGAAATATTCCTCAGTCTATGATGGTGCCAAACAGAAACAGTCATAACATGGAACTATATAACATTAATGTACCTGGACTGCAGACAAATTGGCCTCAGTCATCTTCTGCTCCAACCCAGTCATCCCCAAGCAGTGGGCATGAAATCCCTACCTGGCAACCTAACATACCAGTGAGGTCAAATTCTTTTAATAACCCGTTAGGAAATAGAGCAAGTCACTCTGCTAATTCTCAGCCTTCTGCTACAACAGTCACTGCAATTACACCAGCTCCTATTCAACAGCCTGTGAAAAGCATGCGTGTACTAAAACCAGAGCTACAGACTGCTTTAGCACCTACACACCCTTCTTGGATACCACAGCCAATTCAAGCTGTTCAACCCAGTCCTTTTTCTGAGGGAACCACTTCAAATGTGACTGTGATGCCACCTGTTGCTGAAGCTCCAAACTATCAAGGACCACCACCACCCTACCCAAAACACCTGCTGCACCAAAACCCATCTGTTCCTCCATATGAATCAATCAGTAAGCCTAGCAAAGAGGATCAGCCAAGCTTGCCCAAGGAGGATGAGAGTGAAAAGAGTTATGAAAATGTTGATAGTGGAGATAAAGAAAAGAAACAAATTACAACTTCCCCCATCACCGTTAGGAAAAACAAGAAAGATGAAGAGCGAAGGGAATCTCGTATTCAAAGTTATTCTCCTCAAGCATTTAAATTCTTTATGGAGCAACATGTAGAAAATGTACTCAAATCTCATCAGCAGCGTCTACATCGTAAAAAACAATTAGAGAATGAAATGATGCGGGTAAAACCTTTTAAAATGTCCATTTTTATACTTAATCATCTGTTTACTTGGTGTTTATTTTAAAATATTGTGCTCCAGTATTTTTCATGCTTTTTATAGCTTAATATATTATCAGTTACAGAATTTAAAAGTGAATAAATATTAAAGTACATTTTATTGTAACCATTTTATTTTAGTATTTCAAGATTTACTCAGAATTTCCTGAAATAAAATCTCGTGTAAATTAATAAAAATATAATTTGCGATATACAGTTTAGGTGTACATAATACTTTATATGGAAATTTGAGCAAGGGTTGTTTTCTAGGTTTTATACATTATCTTAACAACATTTAAAGATAAACTAGTAATATGTGGGTCTCATCTCCTGATACACTTACGAAACATTTCTTTTTACTTGTAGAAAATTTGAAGTTTATAGGTTTATTGATCACACAGATCTTACTAGAAAGTGTCAAAGAAGTTCCCTTCAGTTATTTTTCCCTTCTAATTTCACTTTTATAATATATTGGAGAAAAATGTGTTGAAATTATAAGTCCAACTATAGTAAAAGGAGATCAGAGTAAATCTATTTAAATTGTGTTGTCATTACACATAGGTCTCTTCACTAGATACTAAGATGGTATTGTCATCATTATTGTTTTTATCATGTGCTTAGAGTTCAAAGATTTGACTCCTAATCTTACATCTGTCACTCACAATTCAAGAGGCTTAATCTTGTGATTAAACGCCTTTATGTACTTGAGAGAAACATTCTTTTAAAATGATTTTTCCACCAGGCGAGGTGGCTCAGGCCTGTAATCCCAGCACTTTGGGAGGCGGAGGTAGGCGGGTCATCTGAGGTCGGGAGTTCGAGACCAGCCTGACCAAAATAGTGAAACCCCCATCCCTACTAAAAATACAAAATTAGCCAGGCATGATGGCACATGCCTGTAATCACAGCTACTTGGGAGGCTGAGGCAGGAGAATTACTTTTAACCCGGAGGGGTGGAGGTTGCAGTGAGCCAAGATTGCGCCATTGCACTCCAGCCTGGGCAGCAACAGTGAAACTCCATCTCAAAAGAATTTAAAAATAAAAAATAAAATGATTTTTCCAAATCTGATTTACAATATTGTTATTCCATTTTACATTTTATTAAATGAGAAATGCCATAATAATCTCTATGACTTATCTGTATTTTAGTACTTAGGATTTCTTACTAAAGTCTGTCTGTATGTATTTTCTTAGTTTATTTTTCCTTTTTCCTCTTCACTTTCACTAATAGCTGATTTAAACTTTTATGGTGTTGGAAGCTTTGCTGACTTCTGTAGTCTCCATTACTGTGTAGGCAAGTAAGATTTTAAGAGAAACAGTTCTGAACTAAGTCTGGCATGTCACCCTTCTTAAAAGATTTTGCATGCAAATGTGAATCCTAACAGAAGCATGTGGTTGCTGTATTTTAGTCTTGCATTTCTAGAATTAGACCCCACTTTTCCAATTGAATTCCTTTTCTATTTAAACCCTTTAATTAGTTCTTTATTAATTAGCCAAAATATTTCTCCCTTCTAAATCCAGGTATTCCTTATCTATAATACTTAGAAGTTAGTTTTTGTTTTTAATCTATTTTTTAATATCTTCATGAGTCACACTGACTATTCTTTGAAATATTCCTAAGTACCCAAAGGATATCTTGTAAACAAATAAGTAGGAGAAACCCTTTGCAATTTGTGTTAATGGTGGGCCATGAGTCACACCTTTACTCTAATGCCCTGAAAATGAGAAAAGGAAAGATTATTCATGACTATTATATATTTATTGAGAATGGGGAAAGGATTAGTGGCTTAGAAAAGGCATTGTTTTGTTGTTCTCCGTACATTAATTTTTTAGAATAAATGAGCCTGGAGTAAAAGAATTTTTTTTTTTTATGAAAGATAAAATAGGAGGAAGGATATTTGAGGCCTAGGCATTACACTAAGAGAAGTATATAACAGAGAGATAAATGAAGATGCATGTTAACAGATATTTGTTTCACATTGAGAACCTTTTTTTTTTTTCGGAGTGCATTAGAGAAGAGTAGAAAGCTGACTCATCTGGGATCCTCTTGGACTACACAGCTGAATTTGCATATGTACTCACTTTGAATATCCTTTTAACTGCCTCTTAAGCTGCACTTTTGATCATTAATTTCCTTTGAAATGGTTTCTAGATTTCTAACATGCTTTATTAAAAATTATGCATTTAACCTTTAAATATATGCCTGAATTTTTTCCAAGCTATTTCTTAATATTTAATATTGAAGAAGATAATTCTTATTTAACATCTAGTTTATTTGCCTAGGTTGGATTATCTCAAGATGCCCAGGATCAAATGAGAAAGATGCTTTGCCAAAAAGAATCTAATTACATTCGTCTTAAAAGGGCTAAAATGGACAAGTCTATGTTTGTGAAGATAAAGACACTAGGAATAGGAGCATTTGGTGAAGTCTGTCTAGCAAGAAAAGTAGATACTAAGGCTTTGTATGCAACAAAAACTCTTCGAAAGAAAGATGTTCTGCTTCGAAATCAAGTTGCTCATGTTAAAGCTGAGAGAGATATCCTGGCTGAAGCTGACAATGAATGGGTAGTTCGTCTATATTATTCATTCCAAGATAAGGACAATTTATACTTTGTAATGGACTACATTCCTGGGGGTGATATGATGAGCCTATTAATTAGAATGGGCATCTTTCCAGAAAACCTGGCACGATTCTACATAGCAGAACTTACCTGTGCAGTTGAAAGTGTTCATAAAATGGGTTTTATTCATAGAGATATTAAACCTGATAATATTTTGATTGATCGTGATGGTCATATTAAATTGACTGACTTTGGCCTCTGCACTGGCTTCAGATGGACACACGATTCTAAGTACTATCAGAGTGGTAAGTAAACTCAAAATGTAGTTTGTTCATAATAATGTAATTTATTGATATAGTAAAATATAGGATGATTATATCACTGGATGAGAGCCAGAAGACATGGGTCAGGTCTTGATTCTGTTGGATAAACTTGGGTGAATCCTTTAGGTGCTTAGACTTATAAAATGAAAGAATGTGCTCGATTTGATTATTACTAAATATTATTAACATTTTTGAGTCACTCCTTTTACATTTTATTTGTCAATATGTCAGACAAATAACTTTTTATTTTTTTTGATGGAGTCTCACTCTTTCACCCAGGCTGGAGTATAATGGTGCAATCTCAGCTCACTGCAACCTCCCCCTCCTGGATTCAAGCGATTCTCCTGCCTCAGGAGTAGCTGGGATTATAGGCACCTGCCACCATGCACAGCTAATTTTTGTATTTTTAGTAGAAATGTACCTGCCACCATGCCCAGCTAATTTTTGTATTTTTGGTAGAGACAGGGTTTTGCCATGTTGGCCAGGCTGAACTCAAACTCCTGATCTCAGGTGATCCACCCACCCCAGCCTCCCAAAGTGCTGAGATTACAGGTGTGAGCCCCTACACCTGGCCAAATATCATTTTAATAATTTTTTAATGAATCCTCATATCTACCATTCAGTTAAAGAACTGGATTATTAGTACTTGAGATGCTCCTAAACAATCACTTCCCCTTTTCTCCTCCACAGAGATAAGTGTTGTTTCAGAACTTTGTAATTAGCTCTCTACTCTTGTCTTAACTTTTATCACAAATGTATACATCCCTAAATAATAATATTTCATTTTGCCTACTCTTTAACCTTTATTTAAATATAATTCTATATATATTCTTTGTGTTGACTTGTTTGAGGTTCCTCCATGTTATTCATGTAACATTTATTTTAACTGCTATTTAGGATTCCGTTATGTGACTATTACACAACTTATATAACCCTAAACACTTTATGATCCTTGATCCTACTTTATCCTCACAGTATCACTGTGAGGCAGGATGAAGAAACTGAGCCCTAATTAGATGAAGTAACTTGCCCAAGGTCAGACAGAAATCAAGTGTAAGGGCTAGGCTTTGAACCCAGGTTTGTCTGATTTCAGGGCCCATGTTATTTCTACTACACCACACTGCCTCACCAAGATCCCTCCAAGCGCTAATGGAAGTGTAAGTCAATCTAACATTTGTTAAATACTATGTACTAGGTGCTTTACAGTATATTCTAATATGCTCACAACAATCCTCTGAGGTAAGTATTATTAGCTTCCTGTGTTGCTGTGAACACAAGTCGATTGACATTAAAATGAGTAGAACTGAAACAATTGAACCTACCTTAATGTTCAATATAATGGAATTTAGTGTCTCCTCAGATTCAACTGAATTATTACTTGGAAAGCTTCTTAAAAATATGATTCCTAGGCTCTATTCTTGTCTTTCGATCAAAAATTTTTGGGGCATGGAAATCATATTTTAATCAAACATCCCAGATAATAATTATAGTTAGGTTTATTTCTTATACATAACTCTAGGTAACTTCATGCCATCTATATGTCAATGACTTCCAAATCTCTCTCCAGAAATGGCCTTTCTCTGAAATTCATAATTACTGTCCAACTACTACTTGGCTATCTTCACATGGATTTCAGATAGGCCTTTCAAACTTCACATGGCCCATAAGTAACTCTTTTTTTTAAAGTATAAATCAGATCTTGTTACCTTCTTGCTTCAAACTCTCCAGTATCTTTTTACTTTACTTGGAGTAAAAGGCAGACCATTTCTATTGCTTGCAAAACGCTCATGTATTTGTTCTTGCCCCATTTTCTATGGTTCTTGCCCATTTCCTATAGTTCTCCCCTTTATCAGCTGCACTGGTCTTTTCTCTGTTGCTGTTATTTCTGTGTGGAATACCTAGTCCTGATTTTCAAATGGTTGAGTCCTTGTTTTTTATGGCTTAGCAGATACCACCTTCTCAATTGGTCTTCCCTAACCATTCAGTCTTATGTAGCTATCCAGTCACATTTGTCGCATCACTCTGTGTTGATTCTCTGCGTAGGGTATGTCACTGTTTCTTATGTGTGTAGTAGTTTGTTTTGTTTCTTTTCCTACTAGAATTAACCTGCCTGAGAAAAGACCTTTATCTTACTACTGTCATTTATTGAATGAAACACTGATCTAAGTTTTTTGAAAGTTTGTCCAGAGTAGTAACAGGGAGTGGCCTTAATCTCCCCATTACTCATATTGTTGTCATTTAACATTGAATAAATTACTAAATCTTAGGCTTTTTTTTTTTTTCAGTGTAAAACCCATCCTACTGATATCTCAGTGATTTGGCATACGTTGTATCTTAGTTTGTCACAAGGGAGAATGTTAACCCTAAACCATTATGTCAAAAGATTAAACAGACTTCAGGTTGACTCTTGTCCTTGTTGCTTTTCTTTATTTGTTCTTTTATTGTGCAGGTGACCATCCAAGGCAAGATAGCATGGATTTCAGTAATGAGTGGGGGGATCCCTCAAGCTGTCGATGTGGAGACAGACTGAAGCCATTAGAGCGGAGAGCTGCACGCCAGCACCAGCGATGTCTAGCACATTCTTTGGTTGGGACTCCCAATTATATTGCACCTGAAGTGTTGCTACGAACAGGTAAAGCACTTGGTTTCATATGTAATCTCAGCAGGTCTTTAGACCAGCCAAGACATAACACTAATATGCCTTATTTTTCAGGCTTATAATAAAAATATTAATTTTACAGTATAAATTGGTGATTTAATGTTAATTTTGATTGTATTCTGAGCATTTATAAAGTGCTTATAAATAACTAACTTTGATATCTTATTTTAGGATACACACAGTTATGTGATTGGTGGAGTGTTGGTGTTATTCTTTTTGAAATGCTGGTGGGACAACCTCCTTTCTTGGCACAAACACCATTAGAAACACAAATGAAGGTAAGGTATGGCATCTATTTCAAAATAATTGTCACAGAGTTCCTATGTCATTGACCTTTATTTATTAGTACTTACAGTATTTCAATCTGGAGTTAAAGAATGAACTTGGGCTGGGTGCAGTGGCTCACACCTATAATGCCAGTGCTTTGGGAGGCTGAGGCAGGAGGATTCCTTGAGCCCAGGAGTTCAAGATCAGCCTGGGCAACAATGTGAGACCCCACCTCTCCAAAAAAAGTTTTTATTAAAAAAAAAGAAGAAGAATGAACTTGTAAGAGTATACGAACTCACCAAAATTGCATGTGAACTCCTGTCTCCATCATGCCATATCACCATAATCTTGTACTCCCCCTCACTCATACACCGTACTCATTTCATTCTCAAAAAGGTCCATTTTGAAGATTCATTCCAGTTACTCTTCGTCACCCACTGCCTTCTGGCTTTGTCTCCTTCTGTGCAAACCACAAACAAATGTTTATATCCACACTTGAAAATACGTCTCAGGCCGGGCGCGGTGACTCAAACCTGAATCCCAGCACTTTGGGAGGCCGAGGCGGGTGGATCACGAGGTCAAGAGATCGAGACCATCCTGGTCAACATGGTGAAACCCCGTCTCTACTAAAAATACAAAACATTAGCTGGGCATGGTGGCGTGTGCCTGTAATCCCAGCTACTCAGGAGGCTGAGGCAGGAGAATTGCCTGAACCCAGGAGGCGGAGGTTACGGTGAGCCGAGATCGCGCCATTGCACTCCAGCCTGGGTAACACGAGTGAAACTCCGTCTCAAAAAAAAAAAGAAAATATGTCTCACACTTAAATGAGAATGTACTCACAATTTTGTTCATACACTGTCTGATTTAAAACCCTTTAGTGATTCCTTTGTCCATGGGTTAAAGTCCAAATTTGCCCTCTGTTCATACCATCCCCTCTGTCTGCAATGTCCTACTTCCATTTCTCTCTTCTGTAATCCTTCCTCCTTTCTGAAGTAAAACTCCTGATTATTCTGTTTTTTTTTTTTGAGATGGAGCCTCATTTTTGTTGCCCAGGCTGGAGTGTAGTGGCATAATCTCGGCTCACTGCAACCTCTGACTCCTGGGTTCAAACGATTCTCATGCCTCAGCCTCCAGAGTAGCTGGGATTACAGTCACATGCCACCACACCTAGCTAATTTTTCTATCTTTAGTAGAGATGGGATTTCACCACATTGGCCAGGGTGGTCTCTAGCTCCTGACCTCCTGATCCACCTGCTTTGGTCTCCCAAAGTGCTGGTTGCAGGTGTGAGCCACTGTGCCCAGCCAAAATTCATCTGTTTCTTTATTTAAGCAATGAAAACCAGAAACTAAAATTTAAAAACACTACCATTCACAGTAGCTCCTCTGAAATAAAAAACTTTGATGTAAATCTGACAACATGAGCAAGATCTGTATGCAAATTGCTACTGAAAGAAATAGGCTGGGTGCGATGGCTCACGCCTATAATCCCAGCGCTTTGGGAAGCCAAGGCAGGCAGATCACCTGAGGTCAGGAGTTTGAGACCAGCCTGGCCAACATGGTGAAACCCTGTCTCTACTAAAAATATAAAAATTAGCCAGGCATGGTGGCGGGCACTTATAAACCCCAGCTACTCAGGAGACTGAGGGAGGATAATACTTGAACCTGGGAGGTAAAGGTTACAGTGAGCCAAGATTGCATCACTGCACTCCAGCCTGGGTGACAGAGTGAGACACCATCTCAAAAAAAAAAAAAGAAAAAGAAATGGTAGATCTTGGCCGGATACAGTGGCTCACACCTGTAATACCAGCACTTTGGGAGGCCAGGTGGGCAGATTACTTGAGGTCAGGAGTTTGAGACCAGCCTGGCCAGCATGGCAACACCATCTCTACTAAAAATACAAAAAAAATTAGTTTGTAATCCAGCTACTCGGGAGACTGAGACAGGAAAATTGCTTGAACCCGGGAGGAGGAGGTTGCGGTGAGCCCATATAGTGCCATTGCACTCCAGCCTGGGTGACAGAGTGAGACTGTCTCAAAAAAAAAGAGAGAGATTGAGAGAGAGGGAGGGAGAGAGGGAGGAAGGGATGAAGAGAGAGAGGAGGGAGGGAGAGGAGGGGGGGAGACAGAGAGAAGAAACGAAAAGAGAAATCATAGATCTAAATAAGTGGTAACACATACCATGTTCATTGATTGGAAGAGTTAATGTAGTAAAGCTATAACTTTTCCTGTAATTAATTTATAGGTTTAACTCACCTCCAGTCAAAATCTCAGCAGGATTTTTTGTAGATATAGATGAATCAATTTTAAAATTTAGATGGATGGACAAAAAGTAGACTATGCCAGGCTCGGTGGCTTATGCCTGTAATTCCGACACTTTGGGAAGCCGAGGTGGGTGGATCATTGGGCTCAGGAGTCTCTACTAAAATACAAAAATTTAGCCAGGTGCAGGGGCACGTGCCTGTAGTCCCAGCTACTCGGGAAGCTGAGGCAGGAGAATTGCTTGAACCCGGGAGACAGAGGTTGCAGTGCGCCGAGATCAATCCACTGCACTCCAGCCTGGGCAACAGGGTGAGACTTTGTCTCAAAAAAAAAAAAAAAAAAAGGAAAGAATAGCAAAATAATTTTTTAACAAGAACAAAGTTGGAGTGTTCAGCTATCTGATTTTTAAATGTACTGTGAAGTTTCAATAATGTAGACAGTGTGAGAGTGACAAAAAGGTACACACATAAATCAGTGGAATGGAATATAGAATGCAGACATAAGACCACACTACTATGGCCATTTGATCTTTGACAAAGGTGCAAATGGAAAAAGGATCGTTTTCTAACAAATGGTAATGAAAAAAACTGGTCAGCCATATACAAGAAAACTGAACCTCAGGCCAGGTAAGATGGACCATGCCTGTAATCCTAGCACTTTGGGAGACCAAGGTGGGTGAGGTCAGGAGTTCAAGAACGGCCTGGCCAACATGGCGAAACCCCATCTCTACTAAAAATAGAAAAATTAGCCGAGTGTGGATGTGCATGCCTGTAATCCCAGCTACTCAGGAGGCGAGGCAGGATAATCACTTCAACCCAGGAGACAGAGCTTGCAATGAACTGAGATCGTACCACTGCACTCCAGCCTGGAACACAGAGCAAGACTCTCGCAAAAACAAAAACAAAAACTGAACCTCAAGTGACCTGACACCTTTACAAAAATTAACTTAAATTGAGTCACGTATGTATAGATAAAATTTAAAGCTATAGTACTTATAGAGGAAAACAGGAGAAAATCTTCATGCGCTGGGGTTAGGTAAAGAGTTCCTAGAAATGACCCCAGAATCATGATCTGTAAAAGAAAAAATTCATCAACACTAAGAACTTTACCACACATACAGTCAAGAGAAAAGCAAGCTACGGTCTGGGAGAAAATATTTACAAATCACATATCTAAGAAAGGTTTTTTATCTACAATATATGAAGAACCCTCAAAACTCAACAATAAGGAAACAAATAACCCAAGCCAGTGACATGACATATGTCTTTATATGTCTGTGTCAAAAAAAGAAATGGATCTCTGTCTCTTTAAATCTGCCAGAGCAGGTCAAAGAAAGGCAGGCATCTGTGCTGGTCCCTCAGGGAATCACCAACACCAGCCAGAATGGACAACCTCAGATTTTTGGAGGGCAAAGTTCTTACTGCCCACCTTGGTACTAACCAGCTGTTCCAGGAAGACAAGCTGTGGTCTTCATGACCGCCGCAGGACTGAGGAGCGGTAGATGGTAGTGGGCTCACACACGCTGCTGTCTGAACCAAATTTTAGCAGCCTCTGCCTTCATGAGGCACTCTCCTGGCTGCTATAAGTATCTGATCAGGTTTCAAAGTTCTAAAATAAATTATTCTGATAGTCTTTTTCCAGTTTAATGATTGTTTTTAAGGAACAGTAGATCCTTGATACTTGCGACTCTATTTTCTGTGATGTCTCTTTCTACTGTGGTTTTTACTATTTTCTCTTTGTTTAGTTTTGTTTGTAGTTGCTTTAGTGACTACAAAATACATATCAAGGTTTTTTTTTTTGAGATGGAGTCTCACTCTGTTGCCCAGGCTAGAATGTAGTGGTGCAACCTGGGTCACTGCAACCTCCACCTCCCGGGTTCAAGCGATTCTCTTGTCTCAGCCTCCCAAGTAGCTGGGATTACAGGCACCCTCTACTACACCTGGCTAATTTTTGTATTTTTAGTAGAGACAGGAAGGGTTTCACTATGTTGACCAGGCTGGTCTTGAACTCCTGACCTCTCCACCTGCTTTGGCCTCCCAAAGTGCTGGGATTACAGGCGTGAGCCACCGTGCCTGGCATAAGTTTTTACTATCTACCTAGAATTTATATTTTATGACTTCAAGTTCAATGTAGAACCTTACTGCCATATAGGTCCCTTTATTCTCTACTCTTTATGTATGTTATAGTTATTTTATTTTTCTTCTTTTTTTTTTTTGAGACAAGGTCTTGCTCTGCTGCAAGTGCAGAGGTGTGATCTCAGCTCACTGCAACCTCTGCCTCCCAGGTTCAAAATTCTCCTGTGTCATCCAACTAAGTAGCTGGAATTACAGGTGCATGCCACCACGCTTGACTAATTTTATTTTATTTTTATTTTTATTTATTTATTTATTTATTTTTGAGACGGAGTTTCACTCTTGTTACCCAGGGTGGAGTGCAATGGCGCGATCTTGGCTCACCGCAACCTCCGCCTCCTGGGTTCAGGCAATTCTCCTGCCTCAACCTCCTGAGTAGCTGGGATTACAGGCACGCGCCACCATGCCCAGCTAATTTTTTGTATTTTTAGTAGAGACGGGGTTTCACCATGTTGACCAGGATAGTCTTGATCTCTTGACCTCGTGATCCACCCGCCTCGGCCTCCCACAGTGCTGGGATTACAGGCTTGAGCCACCGCACCCAGCTTATTTTTATTTTTCAATCAATATTAGTCACTGTGTTGCCCAGGCTGGTCTTGAACTTCTGGGCTCAAGTAGTTT